TCGTCTAGCCAGATGCTCTTACTACAGCCAAGGTCTCGATTGAAGCATAGAGGTGATCAGGCCTTCACAGTTGCAGTGCCTAGACTCTGGAATAATCTGCCAGATGATATTCGTACTTCAGAGTCTATTCAGTCTTTTTAAATTGTATCTTAAAAGTCACTTTTTTAACGTTGGCTTTTAATTCAAGTTTAGTTTGAGTAGCATCACGCTTGTTTTCTGTTTGTTATTGCATTATTTGTTTTTCTATTGTTTTCTCTTGTTCTTAATTAATTGTAAAACACTTTGGTCAACTGTGTTGCTTTTAAGCGTGGTATAGGAATACATTTTGATTTGATTTAGATTTTAAAGCTTTAATTTAAAGGTTGAATATAAGACAGATGTAAATGAGGGAGAATCTGTACACCTGAAGTTCTCCAGTGATGCTAACAGGATATGATAAATCCCCACTACTTATATTTCTTGTCCTTAAAGCTGCCCCTGACATCAAGACTTCCTCAAAGTGCTCCTCTGAGAACGGCATCATAAAGTGTGACTGTATCGTAGAGTCTGAGCCTCCCAGCATGGTCTATTTTATTTTTGGTGACAGAGTCATGCAAAGCAGCAAAGTAGACATGAATGGCTCTGTTACTACTGGGACTCTGCAGACAGACTTTGGGTCTTTCAGGCGTGTGCAGTGCCTGGCAAACAACGTGGTGGGATATGACAACATCTTGCTCTCTTTACCTGTTAATGGTAAGAAAGACTTGGGATGCACTGATCTCTCTGTTTTTACATGACAAAAACACTCATTATGATTTTTATCTGGACAGACAACATGCAGAATATTCTTATCTCATCTGGAGCAGGTGTGATTTTGCTGATTATTCTGATAGGAAGTGGAGTGGGAGTTGTTAAAAAATGGTAAGTTGTCATGAACATAATCATTGAAAATAAGCATTTTTTATTATTGCACCATTTGCGAAATAATAGTAATATAATAATCTATCTATCTATCTATCTATAGATAGATACATTTTGAAATAAATGTATGTCTTTTTGGTTAGAGGCTGTGACAAGTGTCAGTTTCCTTTCTCATTTAATTAAAAACATCTTACTGCCAGCAGGGGGCGATCAAGAGACACAACAACCACTAACCTGAGCAACATAATGTCAGACAGACCTGTGGAGCTCCCTCATAGTGGCCCACCAAAAAGGTTTCTTCACTTCTGTTTGAAAACAAACAAATCTTACTGATGATTAAATATGATTTAAGAAGATATGCAATTAGATTTAATCTTTACCTCTTGCATTCTTTCTCCAGAAAAAACAGCTGTAAGGATATCCCTTGCCCTGACATGTACAACAACTCTCCTGTCTATGGCAATGTAGGGATAAGTAATGTTTTCTTCATTAGTTCATTCATTTTGTGCATGCATGAAAAGGGGAGTGAATTAATCTTGTTTCTCTGTGCAGACTGACTGCGATGAGTCAATATACAACAATGTGTAGCGTGTGGAAAACCAGCTGCGGTCCATGTTTGTGTCTTCTGATATGAATCAAGAAAAACATCCTTGCGCAACTTTATCGCATATTTCTATCATATGTTTTTCACACTTTCTTTGGAAAATAGAGTAAGTAAATAGTATTTGTTAAAGTGCTCTTGTTAATCTCATCTAGAACATTTCCTTTGGCTTATCAAATTATATTGTTTAAAAAATTACCAATAACGTATTGTAAAAATCTTTAAGTTGCTAGGTCGCAAAGGTTGCAGATTTTTAAAAATTCAATCGCCGAATTATTATTATGAAGTATATAACATATGACATATTTTTTTCACAAATGTGTAATTCACATTTGTACATTCTTACTGTAGGTTTGTAAAAATCTACACTAAGAATGTACTGTAATGTTCAAAATTATCGCAACATATTGTCTGATTAAATTATGTGCAAACTTGTCAAATTATGAAACTATGTTGTTCATTATTTATACTCAATATCATTTTTCTTTATTATTACCTTTGTTAAGAGCTGTTATGGGTTCTCAAATACAACATCAGTCAAGTTATATGATATTGGTCTATCAGCACAGGTCTGGTTGAAGGATGTTTGACCTTCATGGGGTGTGGGTATTTGTGGAGAATAACTATAGATTAGTCCTGGGCATTTCTGCAAAATGAAATAAAGAACAAAAAAAGTGTGTTATTCAACCATATTTTATGGTTACACAATCGTTTACACAGTGTTGTTTTAAAATTTAAAAAATTTAAAAAAAACTACCATCAGAATTGTTCATGTATGTTTTTGCTTCATGAAGCCATGTTACACATTCTATGCTAATTTCCTTCTGTTTCCTAGGACCAGTGCAATATACTCACGGCTTGTTTTATATTTTGATACATGACCAAATTCTTGCAATTCAATTTCAAGAAGTGCAACACGAGTGAGACTTATTGGTAATCAGGTCTGGATTTTGCAGGCCAGCATGCCAAGGTGAACAAATGTAGTAAATGCTGCTTTGAAAAAATGATTTTGAATATTTGATCGAGATTAGTGGAATTGCTCAGAGTTTTATTAGTTTGATCTTTCTGTTGTTAGAAATGTGTGGAAAAGGTTTAATTCAAAGACTTACAACAATCATCTGTGCCAGAGACAGCTTGCTTTCAACTCAAGTTAACACAGACTTTTATATCAAAGATATTTAAACAGACTGTGACTCAGTAGTCAATGAAAATATTAATACTGGTCAGAAGATGGGGCTGTTAACCAAAATTTAAATATAGCAGTTCCTGAAAAGGTTCAGCAAAAAAATTGAATTTGAAATATTGAAAAACATGAACATGCAACAATAGATAAAATGGAATATGGTTTATTCTTCATTAAACATTACAAAGCACAAAATAAAACCAAGAAAAACATGCTCAAAAGTCACAGAGTAAAGCATGTGTGTAAAAAAAAAAAAGGGATTAATATTTGAAGTCATATGAAGGTGATGTAAACTAACGGACACCATCAGTCCAGAAAACAACAAACTGAAAACATCAGAAATTAACCACCACAACAACTTTCAGGAAGCTGGAAATCAGAGTTAAGGGGAAGAAGAACACTATGAAGAATAGTACAAAGGGTTAAGTAAAAAAATAAAATAATTCCTTTTTTGTTTAAATTTTTTTCTGATATTTTCATATTCTAGATATTCTAGATACATATTTAAGTATTTTTTATTCATCTTTAGGCAAAAAAAGAATATTTTTGAACTTCATTTTTAAACATGTACTTTTTAAAGAGTTTTTTACATGTTCACTTAGGTGGACAATTTATGTGTATAGAGTGAGACATCAATGTCCAGTGTAGTGTTTTATGTGCAAGTATACCATCGACACAACACACAAATACAAGAAAATAGCCCTTGAATAGCTGTCTACTGTAGTGACCACTACCTGATTATATTCTGATCAGTATTAAGCAATTAAGCATAATTGACTATCAGAAAAAAAATATCTAATACCATTTCTCTTATTCACAATCACGTATAATGATGGGTTGTTTCACGGTACTGGGTCATGTGACCCAGTGTTTTTGAGTTTCATTGTATTTTGTTATTCATTTGTATTCTAGTTTCAGTTTAACTTATCTAGTTAATTTCTGCCATTTTAGTCCTTTGTTTTTTAGATCCTTTTGTGTCATCTCCCCCTGTAGTAAGTCTCCCTGGTTCGTGTGTCTACCTATCATGGTTCTTGTCTGTGTGGTTCTTGTTGTCCTGTTTCCTGTTTATTCTGAAAGTCTTGTTTCCATGTTCTATGTGCGTATTTTACCATTCCACTGTGGTGCCATTATGGTCAATTGTGTCAGCTGTTTCTCCATGTGTGTTCACTTCCCTCTGTTACACTCAGGGGCAATTCTAGGATCAGAGCTTTGGGGGTGCTGAGCACCCAGAGAGCTGCCCATCCTGGCAAGGTAAACTTTAGTCGTCACGATGACGCTTCCCTGTCTCTGTCAGTCCCTGCATCCTTAAATGTCTCCAGTTGTCCCGAGTTCCCTATGACTGTCTCCTTGGTGCATTTAAACCCCTGTTCCTTCCTGTCCTCATCGTCTTTTGTCTTCATCTCCATTATCAGTCATCATAATTGTACCCTCTCTGTGCAAGTCTGCAAATTTCTTTCTTAAATCATAAGATTCTTAAATTCACCAAGTCTCTCTGTGCCTGGGTCCTTGCCACGAAACATGACATGTACATTTGTACATTTTACCACAATTGAATCCCCACATTTGTGAAAGAAAAGCAAAACACTTTTTTGATAAGTTTGTAACAAAACCATCAAATCTGATAAAGGTTATTTAAATGCTGCTAAAGAAGAATGGATTGGAATTTTAAAAAATACATATCCTAACCTTAATTACTGGGGGAGAATAATGAATGATGCTCACAGTGAGTAAAAAGTAAACTGAGTGCATTTTTTGGACAGAGATTCACTTTTAATGTGTATGTGTAATATAATACAGATACATAAAAATACACTCCAAAAATAGAAGAGTCCTTGAAATGTACAAAATATTATTAAAAAATCTGAAAAATTGAGACACCTTGGCCTCTGGTACAATGTGTACAATGTATGAAAAGATCTTTACTGCAGATACTACTATGGCTCTGCAGATTTTTTCTTTTCTTTTATCCTATGTCGCCTCACCTTGAGGTTGGTAAATCTGTCTATCACATTTTGGTGGTCAAGTCTCTCAAGCATCTCTTTCTCAACTGACATCACAGCCAGGTGCTGGAGTCTGCTTTGACCTATGGTCCTTCTCAGCCAGGTATGGCGCTGACTCAAGACACTAAAATACCTTTCACAGCTACAGCTGCTAGCTGGGTTTGTTAGGGCAACCTGAATAACAGTTTTCAGTGTGGGGAAGATCTGATTATCCAGAAGATTGTACAATGTTAACATATCTGGAATGGCACCAGCCTCACTCTTGAGCTTCAAAAGGTTTTTGGCAACCGTGACTTCCTCTGACTGAAACTCAATATGGTAATGCAGTGCTAGGGCTGACAACCCAGTTTGTTTTGCAGATTCTGTACAGCAGCTTTAATATAGGGAGAAAACAACTTCCAGATTGTATGAGTAAAATTAGTTGGTTTTTTTTCTTTTCCAGTTTAACAGTTTCTGTTTTGCCTGTGTCCCGAATTCGAAAATGTTGAGCAACAGAACAAACCAACAGAGGCCCAGGAGAGTGCAATCAGACAAGGAGTTTATTAAACACACGCAGGAGGAGAAGTATACAGCATCACACCAGCAAAACGTCTCCTGCTAAGAATACACGTGGAAGTGTTTTATAACATCAGGGTTCACGCCCCTTCTCGCGTCGATTACAGATCAGATACGTCGATTTACAGTAAATGGTACATCTTAAATGGCTAAAAACAGACACAAAAGTTCCTTTTTCTATAACACCTTCCATACATGGCAATACATTTCAAGCCTACATGGTCCCTGAGGGCTTGTCCTCTTCTTGACTGGTCTTCTGTCATCTGTTACCAAGTAGACTAAAATGCAGTCAGAAGCTAAATGAATTTCAGGCCTTTGGCCTGGCAGGTTTCTGGATTATATGTGTTTGTAAGCATGTATGCGTCTATATATAATATATCGACTGAGACATCGCGCTCATCGAAGCTTGAAACCTTCAATAGACTGAGACTGAGCATCAACTCTGAATAAAGCACAGACATGCAATGTGTGTATAAACTGACTAGGGCTGCACCTGTAAGAAAAAGGTTAATAGCAGTAAGTTTTATAAACATCTTT